AAAGTTTTGCCCGATTCCATGTGCTAAAATGTTGCGATTGGCTGAGAGGATGGTGTTAGCGCTAGATGTTATTCGACGGCTAGCCTTCAGTAGCATTTCCACCTGTGTGCAAATATTCTCAAAGGTGGCATGAATGTAAAACAGTATGACATCTTCAATTATGCTTGTTATCGATACTGAAAAGGAAAACAATGAAAGGGAATGGAACTAAAGCTTTGACAATGCATTGCTAAGTGAGATCAAGTTATGAATATTAAAAGCTATTTTTAGCGAAGATGGCAAAAATGTTATTAAAAATAAATGCAGACTAATAAAAAAAATTATGTTAGTTTAGAGCAAAGCTTTGCAGGTTTTGCATCCTGAGTGACGTTGCATATATCAAAGGGATTTCTCCAAACCTTTCTCTTCAACTGACGCCTTTTGACTGCAACCTGAAGCAGATCAAAACGCATTAACCGGCACAATGCTTTAAGTCATCCATAGCCCCTTCTCACGGCATCTGATTCTCAGTAGAATCTGGATGGCTTTGCTGATTTGCAAAAAATGCACTTGGGCTGGAAGATCCCGAGAATCAAAAATTTGTAATGATATTAGGTCTCAGGTCAGTACCATTCACACTATATATAATACCTGACTAAAGTCGTCAGACGGATGCCGTAAATGTAACGGAGTTAGACGTGACTGAAACAAATGAGTAGTTAATAATCCTTGATTCGTGGTAAATAGTTAAATATCCTAGAGCCTCTACCAACTTTTTGTGAATGAAGATTACCAATACAAAAATCGACCTGGAAGACTGGTTTAAGCCTTTCGTGTAACTCAAGACTATAGCTCGTCAAAGTAAATGCCAAATATATGCCTAAAGTTGCAGGTTAATGCAACATCGTTGTAAGATGACGTTAGAGAAGAGTTGAAGTTCTTCTATGATAGCACCGCAGCTTATGTTCTCCGCGTTTGTTATGATAGGAAAGAAATCAAATTGCAAATGGACTATTTAGCTATAATCATCGAAGGTTTCCTCAAATT